TGGGAAACCGCTGCACTGCGCCCCCCTTCCCCCCCCCCCCCCAAAAAAAAAAGAATGATCTAGACAATATTATACACCCTCTTCGCAATCATGTAACACGCTATGCCGAAGAGCAACAGGCCAGCCGTTATCCACGCGAACCATGCCAAATCACCCTCGTACTCCTGCCCGGGAACCCAGACATTCATGCCCCACAAGCCGGTGATGATGTTCATGGGGAGCACAATGGTGCCCAGGACGGTGAGCTTTCCGAGGACATCGGCAGTTTGCTCTTGTCTCTCGTTCATGCGGATGTTAATTTGGGCGAGATAGTTGCCGTGGGAGCGGGCCAATATCCTACAACTCTGTTAGCCATTCTTGTCTACTGGAGAGCGTGGCGGGGGGTGAGACCAACTTTTCATAGTGACCCAAATTGGATGTCATAGTCACAATATGATCTTGGATATCTCCGAGATAAAGTCCTATTTCGGACCTGGGCGCAACTTCCCAGCTTTCGTTGCATCGCTTGGCGAAACCTTTGATGACATCTGCTTTGTTGCCTAGAAGGCGATACAGACTCATGACTCGTTTGCGGCAGTCACCCACCCTTCTGAGCATGTCGCCCGAGTCGAAGAAGGAGGAGCTGTCGTCTCGGAGGTGGGCTGTTTTCTCGTCCCTTTCGGGTGTATGCATCCGTAATATGTTCTCGTCAATCTCGTCAACTTCGTCTTCGATAATTTGGATAAGAGGTTGGAAGACATCGGTGATGTCATCGATGATGGCGTATGATATCCAGTCAGATGATAGAATGAGATAGTCTCTAAGCTGCCGGATGCGTCTGCGTACGTTCGCAGGGTGCGGTGTCATGGAAAAGTGGAAACTGAGCACGCCTTCGCGGAAAACAACGACGTACATGTTGACAGGTTCGAGGTAGTTCGCGCTGTTGATGTCCTGGTCAAATGTGCGGTAGTTGACAAAATAGTAGTGACGGAATAGTTCTACTTTCTCTCGGGCTTCTTGGAGCATGATGTCTTCGGCGGTGAGGGGATGGATTCCGAATGCCTTCGCAATGACCTTCATTTCCGCCTCTGTAGGGGAGAGAATGTCGAGCCACCAGACAGGCCTGTCGCCATATCTAACAGGCTTCTCAGCTGTGTCTGCAGCAGCGGGTTGAACACTGCCTCCGGGTGATTTAGCGCCACTCGGGCTGACGCGCCTAGAATGGTTCATGGGATTCAAGTTTGGCGACATGGTGCCTCCCCCTCCCTTTCGTGACTCCGCAATAGAAGGTTGGCGTGTCGGAAATTTGGAGTCGACATCTAAGCCGTTAAAAGACCGCTGGCGCCTCGTCGCTAACGAAATGGTCTCACCATCGTTGTCGCTGCTCTCGTCGTCTGACAGAATGCGAGGATCTGGGATAAAAAGCTCTCGAAAGTCGCTTCCAGGCTGGACGAGCTCCGATATCGTCTGACTGTGGATGGTGCTTTGAAATTCTTCGTTGAAATAAGTGAATCGATATGGAATCTCTTCGTCAGTTTGAAACCACCCCTTTCGTACAGGACGTAGCCGCCCGTTGATCAACTGCGGCTCCGTTATTCGTTTCACTCGTCGTTCTTCGCTTCGATCCTCCTTTTCATACTGCCTCCATTCCTCCAACACTGACAGGTCCGGCCATTGGCCCCGTCGTCGACGTGCACGCCGCTGGTGGATTTGAGGATCTCGAGACTGAGCATCATCTTCTTCGCCAAGCTCTGACATGCCAGGGGCGGGGAAGCATACATCCCCAGAAGCGTCTACTGTTGATCGTCGGTTTATCTCCGGCCTATGGTCATGAAGTGGACTTTCTGTGTCCGACACAGCCTCCTCGTTGTCTGAGCGCCGACCGCTACCGCTCGGGAGAGATAAGTCATCTCGAATCATGACGTCTCCAAACACCATATCCGGGCGGGTCGTAGCACCGAGCGCTGGGGAACCTGGGACGGACGGCGGATGGTTCACATCGTAGCCATCCATTTGCGAAGGGGCCAGCTTGGTTCTCGACGACCTGCTGGATCTTCGGCTTCTGTTGCGACCGGTCTTGGACTCACTTGCTCCATAGCTCGAGGGACCCGTTGGAGTTGCTTTCTTGGTGGATGCCGACAACAGAGGAGCGGTCTCGTCCCACGGATCATGCTCGCCATTCTCATTGGGGCTATTGGGGGTGTGCATGGATCGCAGTCGGCTACCACCCGGAGTCGAGGCAAAGGGATTATGGAAGGGACTAGACGCTGCTATGGTGGATGAACGGCGGATTCGCATAGGCCTCTGCTCTCTTTTGACGCAACTATTAGCTCATGTACACGGGGAGGCATGCTGAATAAATTACTGCTTCTACTGCAAACTTACCGATGGTCAAGCAAAGCCTCGCTGTCGATGCTGGTACTACTTAGGTTGGCCTTTGGCACTTGATACAGCGACCCGGGGCCCGAAGGACCAGCTTCATCATGGCTGTCCTCGGTAAGTGCGGCAAAACTCTTTCGTCGGGATCGCTTCTTTTTGCCGCCTCGATGTCCCTTTCTCTTGCGCGGATGCTTCTGGCTGTCCGGGGTGTCTTTCCCTGTGGATAGTGACGGGGAGCTCTGCGAGGCAATTTCTGTTCTGTAGTTGGAGACGGCGCTCAGCGACTGGAGGCGATTGCTTGCCATAGCGACGTCGACCAGCTCTCAGGTTGGCCGCGTCAACACTCGGTCATGCTCAGGCCCGCATCTATGTCACCATCGCCGTCACTCGATGATCTGGGTTGTTGTAGAGGCGAGGTATCAGACAAGGTGACCTTTGACAGCAGGGTTACCATGGAAGACGGAAAAAAAAAAGAAAATGTCACAGAGTATTGTCGGTTGAGTTCGCACGTTGCCAAGGTTTGTTCAAAAGGCGCTGGGGCGTTACTGCTGGGATGGGGCACATGGCGCAGTTCCAATTGCGCGCTAAGGTGTCTGGTCCGGCGCATGTTCAGCTAGCTACACCATCAGCGTGTACTCCGTAGACTAGAGCAATCCATGGATCAATGATGGATGATTCAGTGGCTTGCAAGGGGGTCAGTCTCTTGTAGTCCCCCCTTGTTCAAAGCTGTAGTCAAAGCCTGTAGCCAAAAGGCTCCGACCAGCCAAAGTCACACAACTTGGACACCCCCCAAGTGCCGGAAGCCAGCAGCACTTGGACTACGGCGCACTCGCACTGATTGATTCTACATACCTAGGTACCTACAGGGGCCATATGCAGCTACGTGGTGCTAGCCGCTTTTAGAACAGCGTCGATCCTTCCAACCAGCCCCGGAGCTTTGGCGCACGAGGCTCTTCAGCAACCCGCATTGGTGTTAAAAACTCCATGTAGCTTGAACCAGACATCTATTGTGCAACAATGCCCGGACATTGTATGCGGCTTCACTGCTTACAGCCGGCCCGAGAACTTATGTCGGATTCTTTTGTCTTTCTCGAAAAACCCTCATGATGGACAGACGTTTCGCTATCTGTGCTCTCATTATCCGCAAAACCTCCTGTCCACTTTGGCACGACAGGATTGTCGGGAAACAAAACCAATATTATTTCAGGGGTTCGCTCGCTATGTCTATGTATCATATGACAAAGTATGTCCACGCCATTTCCGTCAACAGCCTATCCCAGCAACTAGGCCTTTGCCCCAAAATCCCAGAGCCTTACTAATAGGCTGTCCGGGTTTGCCGCTGGGTCATCCTGGGGGAGAAATATCCTCTTAGGAATCTGGAATTCAATAACCGGCGCCTTCTTGACGTCCTTTCCCAACTCGGCATCTAAAAGCTACAGACAATGTCAGTAAATGCCGCGCCGTACATGCCCCAAAGAGGTCAAACAAAACTTACGCTTGCGTATGAATGATCCAAGAAGTCTTCCATGTTATACGATTGCTTGGTGAACTGCTCAGACATGACCTTTGCAATAGTCGCAATGTTGGGGTGGTAGTGCGATTGCAGCTGCACAAGCTCCCAAAGACAGCTGTCGATTGCGCGCGTCTTCGTAGGCTCAGTCTCCTCCGCTAGGAAGGGATCTTCAAACCCGCGGTCCTTGATATTCTGCTTCTCCTCCGGGTTCTTTATGACCCGGTGTAACATGAATGTGCATGTAGGGTGACGCTTCAGCAAGTTGTAAATCCAAGGAATCACAAAAGCAATGGCGCTGGGAGGCGCATTCAACGCTAGCCGGGATAATCGCTTCAGGAAGCTAGCCACCAGAGAAGCAGGAAGATGGGTTGACGCCAAGAAAGTATCCAACAGTCGGAAGAATCGGGACCGGTGTTTTGAGTGCAGGATATCTCGGTCAAGTAGCGAATACAACTTGGGATAGAACGATGGGTAGTCCAAATTGCGCTCTTGAATCAGGTAAAAGACTCCAGACAGTGCCAGCAAAGACATCGATCCTCCTGCGTTGTAGCAATTGGTAAGGAAGTCTGCCAACAGTTCTGGTCTTGTGAACCAAGGGGCAATAATGGTTGAAGTTATATCCAACAAACGCTTACGCTCGTCCTTGGTGTCGACGACGCCCATCAATGCAAGCCACGCCTCTTGACCCTGCTTTTTGTGTTGGTTAACTGATCGAAGAGGATGTGTTTTCCTCTTGGGCCTGGGGATATAGAAGTCATCCAGGTCATCTGCTGACTCTGGCACACCGTCTAGAGCAGAAATCAGGGAGAAACCTCTGTCAAACAGTTCATTAGGCTCGACATCCTCCGACAGGCTTTCCACAAGGTTCCTTTTGAAGCTATTAGCATAGCGCAACAACATAATTTGATTAAAAAACGAAATACATACGTGACAGATTTGAACGTGAAATAGCGAATGTCGTCATACTGTTCCGCAAAATCTTCAATATATGCTTGCCTGACATCTTCGTTGCCTGAGAGCAACACAGCTTTGACGATGTTCTCGATAAACGCCGTGGGGAACGAGTAGTCCTCATTATCATTCAAGAACTCTCCTTCAGCTTTCAGCAATCTCATGCTTAACGTGAGGGCAGTGACAGCGAGCTCTTCTTGGCTCAACAGACTCATCAGCAATATCTTGTACTGAGAAAACTGATCCTTGAGCCACCCAACGACCACACTATCCTTTTCTGACAGAGACTTCTTGGAGGTAAGAGACCCTTGGGCAAGCAACCGAACAAAGACTCTGCAGAGGGCTACTGCTGCCAACATCGATTCTGGTTCGCCATTTTCATTTTCCCTTGCCGTGCTCAACAGGACAGTGATGTCGTTGTAATTCTTTTTTGATTCCAGAATTCCTTGTTCCATAAGGAGAATCTTTGCATTTGGATCCCCGCTCTCTTCGCTTAAAGACCTCCGCCTTTTGGCTGGCTTCTCACTAGCAGAGGCACGCTTGCGCTTCGAGCCTTCAGCTACAGCGCCTTTCGCCATGATGAAATAGTTTGCCCTGTATGTCGTTGGGAATTCGGGAATAAAAAAATTGAAGTCTTTAACTCTCCAATTTACATACAATGACCCCCGAAAAAGGTCAGAAAAAGAAGTGCCACTGTATGTCTGTTGAAATGGTAGACAAATATTGTTCGAAATATCGAGAGCCTCAATAATCGAGTACTGGGTTTCCAAAAATTATCCAATCAGTCGCATCTTATCGATAAGGTTGCTTTTCATCTACTCCTCGAGGCAGGGAGAAGGTCGGGTAAACCATGTTGCTCCTCAACAAACGCCCACGGTGGCTAGCCCGTTCCTCTGCTTTCCGGTGTCACGTGAGTTTATCATGTTGCCGAACTAGCGTGATAAAACCTCAAACCTCATTTCCAGCTCCCCGAGCACCGTCAAGCCCGACACCCCCCCAATCGCAGCTCTATATCACAATGGCCTCTCGCTTGGCGCGAAGCGCTGTCAGTACGTCGCTCCCCTATCGGACGGCGCGACGAGAATTGAAATTTGGAGACTCAATTGGAATCGGAAAGTTTGCTGACGCATAATGAAATCTGTTGTAACGAACAGGCGCTCCCCTTCTCCGACCTACCCTCGCCCGCCGAGCCATCCCTGCCGTGTCCGCCGCTGCTGTCCGCCACGCCAGCAACGTTCCCGCCGAGGATCCCAAGAAGAAGGCCCAGAGCATCATCGACTCCCTCCCCGGAAGCAGCCTCCTCAGCAAGACGGCGTTCCTCAGCAGCGCTGCTGGTCTCAGCATCTACGCCATCAGCAATGAGTACTACGTCATGAACGAGGAGACCATCGTGGCCATCTGCTTGCTGGCCGTCTGGGGTGGTCTCATCAAGTACGGTGGTCCCGGATACAAGGCGTGGGCCGAAAGCCAGAACGAGAAGATCAAGAACATACTCAACAGCGCGCGTGCCGACCACACCGAGGCTGTCAAGGGCCGCATTGAGGATGTCAAGCAGATGACTGGTGTTGTGGACATCACCAAGGCCATGTTCGAGGTGTCCAAGGTGAGAGAACTCTAAAGGATTCCCGTTTTTTTCTTTCTTTCTTTCTTTCTTTCTTTTTTTGGAGGGGGATTCCATACGAAAGATGATAGTACCCAATTACTGACGCAGGGCTTGCAGGAAACCGCCAAGCTTGAGGCTAAGGCCTATGAGCTCGAGCAACAGACCGCCCTGGCTGCCGAGGCCAAGGCTGTCCTTGACTCCTGGGTCCGTTACGAGAGCCAGGTCAAGCAGCGCCAGCAGAAGGAACTCGCTGCTTCCATTATCGCCAAGGTCCAGAAGGAGCTGGAGAACCCCAAAGTCCTGCAGCAGATCCTGCAGCAGAGCGTCGCTGACGTTGAGAGTATGTTGAACTTGGCAAGTTTGCGCAAAAAGATGACATGACCAATGAATATGCTAACACGGACCACGCAGAGATTGTCTCTTCCAAGGCCCAATAAACGCCAATTTCTAGAGTCTTAGATTAAAACGTACCGCCGTTTCTTTTGTTACAACACTCTGTGCATATAACCACACCTGTGCAATAGCCAATTAAATCGAGACACTAGTCTTAACTATTTTAACTCTATTCTATGTTTCTTCACCTCCCGTGACTCTGTTCTGTCGACATTAAATATTTCAGCGATTCCATGGCGAATGCGTATCCTGACGCGTTGTTGGCCATTTAACAAACAGAAATCACACGACGCTGAACGAGGGCAACCCACTTGTAACACTGGAAACATCAACCAACCAAAGCCTAAGGCAAACTTGACATGCCAAGTAACCCAAGAGTGTCTCCATTCTTACTTCGCCCCAAGGGCGGCTGTAGCAAAACAGAGACTCATCAAATTTCAACAAATTAAAATTCCTAGAGATGTATTTAGTACACCATAAATCGGAAATAACTGGTGTCCTTGGCTAAACATTAATTCATCCACCGAGTGGTAGCACAGCGAGCAATTATACACTCGAATACAATTCATAACAATGCAGTGTGGCCAGCATCCAAGCCACACCTAATAAATCGGCCTTGGCTCATCCCATTTCCTAGCCTCGACTCTATCTTTAGAATCAGGCGTCTCCTCCTTCAACTCCGATACCAACGAAACCCTCCCACTACGCCGTCTCCTCGCCCCCTCACCCTTGGTAGGGCCAATCCACTCCCAAGCACGACCTACTTCCCCGCTTCGGCCTTCCCTTTGGCTTATGCGGACATTACTGTTCTGCTCGACGACAGCCCTTACCCTCTGCCATATTCTCTCCCGCTCGGAGAGAGCGTGAATAGACCGCAGGACATCATCTCTTAGGTTTGGCAGGAAGAGCCAGGGATCGTCAAGGTCCTCTTCTCCAAGTTCCCTCTGGTCCGCGAGTCGCTGTAAGACCAAGTCTACGAGGGCTGGAACCTGTGCAGATGTTGCAACGTGGCGACGGTACCGTGAACGTGCGTTCAAGCTTCCGAGGATCAACAAGGTTATAAATCCAATTGCGAGTCGATATCTTGCCAATCCGAGCCGGATTGACCGCTTGATGGCGCAGGTGAGCGGAAGGCGAGCGAGAGAGGTTGACGATAGCTTTCTGACTGGAAGATTGGAGGCACCGGGTGGTCTGTGGGATTAATCACGGATCTGATTAGTCTGTGTCAGAAGAAAGATTTGTTGACCAGATGTGAGATAGCACCGCAGCCACAGCTGAGATTGTATATCATTGCAAAAAGAAAAGAAAAAAGGAAATAACTGGTTTGTACTCACTGGGTTGTCTCAACCTGAACCTCAACTTCTTCTCTCGTAGTGACTTTGCCGATAGCCTTCTCCCACAGGTCGTCAAATTCCTCGTCACTAAGTCTCTTGTTTCGTTTTTTGCTGACAACGTGTTTTAAATCTTCCTCTGCGATTGCAGGCGAATCTTCCTGTTGACCCGCTTCGTCGACCAGGTCACCGCATTCGTACTTGGCTCGGCGCTCTCTAAGCTCCTCAACCGCCTTGTCAGCCACGGCCTGAACTCGGCGTTCCTGCTCGCTATCGGGCTCACATGTTGGTGGGAGAGGGACCAGTCCGCCGAATGACAACGGGTGAGGTTTCTGAATGAATCCTTGGATACATCTCACATTGAAGCCCTCGTAGCAGTAGGCATTTGCAGGACATGGTTCGCATTGGGGTTCAACAAAAGGCAGTATCGCATCAGGAACTACAATCTCTGGTGGCAGGAGTGGCTTCACCTGTCTACCAAGGCCGCAGTATCCGACAGCAAGTTTCTCTTGTCGATACCAAGCTCCGTAAGCGCCAAAAAGAGCCATAAGAAGAACAAAGAGGGGTGTCAGTACGCTTGTTTGGCGTGCTGGTTTACGGCTCTTGCGCAAAATTGGAGCGACTTCACCCGTGCTTTGAGCTTCTTCCAATTCGAGCTGCTCTTCAGCAGTAAACTCCTCGCCAGGCTCCAAAGAGAATTCAGGGGTTCTTGGCCGTAACCTGGGCGCTGATATTTCTGATACTCTGGACTTTTTGCTTCCATCGGTAAAACCATCGGTTCTTCTCCTGGCAGATCGCACGCTCTTAGAGATGTCCTCGCCCAAAGTGCGTCGACGGTTGCTTGGAGTTTTTACCGGTGGCGGGGAGCTTCCGCTTTGAAAAGGGTTGTCGTCGGTGAAAACAGACTCGTCATGTCCACCGTCCCCTTCTACCTCTGCCGGCTGAAGATATTCATTCGAGCGATCAGCATGAGTGGGATACTCCTCCTCTTCCGACTCATCTTTTATTTGAGGAGTGACGGTCCTTCTACTGCTCCGACGCGTCATCTTAGACGCAACGGATGCGGTGCCGTCATCTTCGTCAAAATGCGAAAGCTGCCGGCTGGCAGATCTTGAGCTGCGCTTGCGCGGACTGCGCAGAATATTGGGTTCTGGTTCCTCGGGCTCGGTCTTAATTCTGCTCGAGCTCTTCCGTGGCGACATCGACCTGCGCATAGACGAATGGCGTGAGCGCGTATCGTGTTCATCCCAAATGTTGGAATCTTCTGCACTGCCTGCATTGACGAACCCTAAGCTGGATCGTTTCGCCTGAGCCCTCTGTGCCCGCAGCTTCGCAGCCTGTGATAAAACGTGATCATTGACCAAGTCTACCAGTTGTCCCTTCTTCGCTGTCGATGGATAATCCACATTGTGCGTGACGAGGATGGACCGCAAGCGCGGCACTGTGACGCTGCGCGGATCGAAGCCCTCTTGGAGGTAATCATCGACTTCAGCCATGATGACGGACGGCGTTAGCGCACAGCGGTTGATGAAGATACAAATCTCTGGCAAGCCAAGATGTGGATGCGCAATGACAAGTCCCACGGAACCGTCGCGGCTCAGCTTCGCAGAGGAATGCAACGACACGAGGTGGTGAGACAAGGTCAACAGAGGAGGACCGCCGAGGAGGACCGCCGAGGAGGAGCGGTCGCAGCCAAGGTCGCAGGTTATCGGACCTGCAGAGAGAGGAAGGCGTCCACTAGGTTGCCGTAAAGGACAGCCTTGAAACCGAAATTCGAAAATGATGAGGGTGTTGCCCGCACTATAGCCTGCAAAGCAGTATTGCAAGGATGACAGATTTACAAAATCGTCAGCGAAGATGATTTGATTGTTGTTGATCGAGGCCGAGCTCCACTGACGGAAGCATGGCTCCCGTTGTCTGTGGCAACTATGATGATACAATAATCGGCGCATCCTCGGCTCGCCAAGTCGAGAGTGAGAGGCTGGTGTGGCCTTGCCACATGTGGCGAAAATGCGCCACCCTCAGCCCTGTCATACGTACTCCGCATACAAGTATAACTAACTTACTCCGTACTGACTTGGGGTCGAAGCTTGCATTGCATGATATCGTCCCACCTCAAGAGCTTAGATTCATCCTCCTTCAACTACCAATTGGCTTTGTGTGGTGATTTACTACACGCAAAAATGCCACAGGCTACAATGGCGGGGGCGCGGGGTCTTGTAAAAACCTCGAAGTTTGTTTGCAGAAGCTGCTCTCGACCTGCGCGCAGCCAATGGCGACGCTCATATTCAACTACCAAAGACGATATATTTGATGTAGTTTGCGTTGGAGGTGGCCCGGCTGGCCTGAGTCTTCTCACAGCGCTTCGTACGCACCTCACCATCTCCGTCGAATGATATATTGATCCTAGTCTCTAACAAGCATCCTAGGCGCAAGCCCCATCACGTCCGGGCTCCGGGTTGCCCTCATCGAAGCCCAAGACCTAGCCAAGACCGCCGCCTTCTCTCTCCCGCCAACCCAGTTCTCAAATCGCTGCAGCTCATTAACCCCGTCGTCGGCCCAGTATCTCAACACCATTGGAGCATGGACACACATGAAGCGCGACCGCATCCAAGACTTCCACGAGATGCAGGTCTGGGATGGCGTCACAGGTGCCCGGATCGAATTCGACCCCCCCGCCAGCTCCGGCCCCAGCAAAACGATTGCGTACATGACGGAAAACCTGAACCTGACCTCAGGTCTTCTGAAGCGCCTCAAAGAACTAGGAAGCGTCGATATTTTTGACAACTCGCGAGTAGAGAAAATCGACCTGGGCGAAGAGACCGAAGATGTGGACCTCCGCGACTGGCCCGTCGTACACCTGTCAGGCGGTCAATCACTAGTTGCACGGCTTCTCGTTGGAGCCGACGGGGCCAACAGTCCCGTACGGTCTTTTGCAGGCATCGAGAGCCGTGGGTGGGATTACGGCAGACACGGGCTCGTCGCTACGCTGCGGCTGGAAGGAGACGGTTGGGGCGGACAGTTCAGCAAGATTGCCTACCAGAGGTTCTTGCCCACCGGCCCTGTGGCCATGCTCCCTCTGCCGGGGAACTATTCAACCTTGGTGTGGTCAACGACGCCAGAGAACGCCGCGCTTTTGAAGAAGCTGTCTCCCAAGGACTTTGTTGCCTTGGTAAACGCTGCGTTCCGCCTCAGTCCCGTCGACCTGGGGTACATGCACACACAAACCGAGGGCCAAGAAGACGAGTACGACTGGAGGATACAACACACGCCCGTGGATGCCGAGGCCATCCCGCAGACAGCTGTTGGCGTGCAAGAGGGGTCGATTGCTTCATTCCCCCTGAAGCTTCGCCACGCAGATACATATATCGGCGAACGAATTGCACTCGTCGGCGATGCCGCGCACACCGTTCACCCGCTGGCTGGACAGGGCCTCAACATTGGACAAGGCGACGTGCAGAGCCTCGTCAAGGCCATAGAATATGCCGTTTCACACGGACAAGATCTGGGGACACAATTGTCACTTGAGAGTTACAATAGCGAGCGTTACGCTGCTAACCACGTCCTGATGGGCGTGTGCGACAAGCTCCACAAGATTTACTCGGTTGAAAGCGGACCACTGGTTGGTCTGCGATCTATCGGCCTGCAGGCTGTCAACATGCTATCACCGCTAAAGAATTTCTTCATGGCACAGGCGTCCGGTACAGGCGTCAAAGTCGTATAGACAACGGGACTCACCTAGCGGTGTCAGTGAAGTGTGTAAAGTAGTATAGAAAGTAATTGTAACGATAAAAACACATGCACATCTTCGTAACGTCCCATATATATGTATACAAGATATACATCACTTGAGCGAGACTGCGCGGGTGGTGTAAAAAAAAAAATGAAGACTTCTATGGAGTATTTACAGGTTCTCCCAGCCAGCTATGACTACAGACAAATAAAAAATATTGATGGCATTTTCCTCCCTTCTTCTCAACATTTACCGATCGACCTCGCCTGAGTGAAATGTTAGTACGTGTTAAGGAAAGGGGAAAAGAAGGGAGGGGTCCATCAAAACTTACCAAACACCAAATCCATGGTACCAATTACAGCGACGGCATCGGCCAACAAATGACCCTTGGAGACGTGGTCGAAACCACCCAGATGAGCAAACCCAGGAGCACGAATGTGGCACCTATAGGGACGCTCGCTACCGTCGCTGACAACATAAACACCCATTTCACCCTTGGGGGCCTCGATGACGGAATAGGTCTCGCCAGGGGGGACGGCGTAACCCTTGGTGTACAGAAGGAAGTGGTGAATGAGAGCCTCCATGTTCTCCTTCATGGCAGTACGGGGAGGAGGGGAGATCTTGTAATCCTCAACACGGACAGGGCCAGCAGGCATCTGGTTCAGGCACTGGTGGATGATGCGCAGGGACTGGCGGAACTCCTCCATTCGGCAAAGGTAGCGGTCGTAGCAGTCGCCATTCTTGCCAACGGGAACGTCGAACTCGACCTTGTCGTAGGCGTCGTACGGTTGGCTCTTTCGGATATCCCAAGGGACACCAGAGCCTCGAAGCATGACACCGGTGAAGGACAGGTTCAGGGCATCGGCGGCGGAAACGACACCAACACCTCTCAATCGTTCAATCCAGATGCGGTTGTCAGTAAGCATTTCTTCCGTCTCGTCGATGCGGTCACCAAACTGGGTGGCCCATTGATAGATGTCATCCAGCAGACCAACGGGGATGTCCTGGTGGACACCGCCAGGGCGAACATATGCGGCGTGAAGACGTGCGCCAGAAACACGTTCGTAGAACTCCTGTGGCCAAAAGTTAGCGTCATAAAAGGTCTCCAAAGGAAGACGTGGGTTTCATGAGGCAAATATACATACCATGAGTTTCTCTCGCTCCTCGAAACCCCACAGGAAAGGCGTTAAAGCACCAACATCCATTGCGTGAGACAGGACGGACATGAGATGATTCAGAATTCGGGTAATCTCTCCAAACATGGTACGGATATACTTGGCACGGTCGGGAATCTCAATGTTGAGCAGCTTCTCAACAGCGAGGGCAAAGCATTGCTCGTTGGTCATCATAGAAACGTAGTCCAGTCGGTCGAAGTAGGGCAGAGCCTGGAGATAAGACTTGTATTCGATCAACTTCTCGGTACCCCGGTGGAGAAGACCGACGTGAGGGTCGGCACGGATGATTTCTTCGCCATTGAGCTCGAGAATGAGTCGAAGCACACCGTGGGCAGCGGGATGCTGTGGGCCGAAGTTGACAGTATAGTGCCTGACCTTGCGGTCCTCGACCGAATTCTCGCGCGACTTTTGGACGGCGCCGGGGACACGCCGCGTTGCGCCGTAGGGATCGCTGGGATGGGCAAAGTCGTCATCGACGGGGATGAGCCTGGTGCCCATGGGCTCGGGAGCAGCATATTTTCGAAGACATGTCGTCGAGAAGGGCCGAGTTGCAAGGTGTGTGGCAGGACGGAGGCAGAGACGCTTGGCGCCGTGGCCAGCGAGCCTCTGTAGTGAAGAAGCCATTGGTAACGAGATTAGAGGAGCCGGAAGCAAGAGGATAGACTGTAGATCCTCCTGGAGAGCCTCTTGCTCGCAGTCAATGACCTGTGGGCTGAGGAGAAATCGCCTTGGTGGTTATGGCCCGTTGTGCCGAATGTTGCCCGTCAATATTCGGGGCGGCTTTGGCGATGGTGGGTTCCGGGGTGGGCTCGGCTTTTTATTTATGCGTGCTAGTAGGCCAATTGGGTTGCAGCTATTACTCTCACTGCGGGAGAGAGGAAGCTTGCCAACGATCCACTGTAAGAGCACGGCCAGCTTGACTGCTCGACTCCACATGCAATTTGGAGTTTCAAGGTTCCAGATCTGAGATGACACCAGACCTCCGCCTTGCAGACAATCCTGTCTTCAACACAAGAGTATCCGGCTATCGACCGAGAGTCGTACCGTTTATTATTATTCTTATTATTCTTATTATTATTATTATTTTCATTTGCCTTTTTCTCTAGGATGAAACTTCACTTTATTTTCAGGAGACCGTTGGTGGAAAGGAGTGTCATTGTAACGGTAGTAATCATCCCGAGAGCAATGCATCCAGAAATTACAATGATAACGCAGTGAATTGTGGATAGCCAGTCTTGCTTGGATGATTTGATCCAGATACGTCAACCGCCTGCATGTAAGTAACGTCGAAAATTCCAATGTCATAAAGGAGTCAAACATGGCAGACACACTGTCTAGATGGTCCTCTCGCTTCTCGTCTAGATGGCATAGAATTATTTCCTCAATCTTCCATCATTCCTCACAATCTTATATCACTCGTCATAAAGCTTGATTCTCAATAATCCACACGAGAAAAAAATCCCACATCCAATCTACCCTAACCCTAAATCACTCCTCACAGCCCCCAAAGCAACAATATCCAAAACAAGGCCGCCCTTCTCAACTGCCCTCCTCCTAACGCCCTCCCTCACAAACCCGCTCTTTTCCAAAACCCTCACACTCGCCAGATTCGACGAGTACGCCCGCCCATCAACCCTTAGCAAACCAGGCCACGTCTCAAACACCCACCGCACCGCCGCGGCAATCGCCTCGGTACCATATCCCCTGCCCCAGGCCGACGGGGTCAGGAAACAACCCACTGCCCACGTCCTATAAGAGACATCCTGTTGCGGGCGAAATTCAAAGCCACCAATCATGACCGGCTCAGTCGTCAGGTTATCCGGCGTGCTGGGCTTGAGCATGATGGCCCCGTGTGTGGGATAGTGCGGATCCGCGCCGTCGCCGCCGGTTGCTATAAACTCGGAGGCGGCTTCGACGGTGTAGGGTGATGGGAATCTGTCGCTGAGGGTGGCGGCAACTTCAGCATAGTCCCCCACGGATGCGAGCGCCGGAGCGTCTGACAGTGAGGATTCTGTTTGGCGGTGCCATTTCAGTCGAGTTTTGCGGGAGATGTTTATCCTTGCTTTTTGAAGCATGTTTTGAGTTATGATAATGGTTGTGGGTGTTGAGGCGTTGTTTTAAATATGTCGTGGTGGAGTGACTGGTTTGAATGAGGTGAGTCAACTCACTAGTGTTGAGAATCTCTGCTCACGGAATTTCCATCAACACCAACTCTCAACTCTATGGGTAATGCTCACAAATACGGGCAATAGCTATTTTGCCTCTGAAGTCAAGTCATTGCAAACTGTACTTCTTGGTCGGTATACGCAACAGGCCAACACCGGTCCAAACTAAAGTCAACCCCGAAACTGCAGCAACCTAACAGCTTACTGAATCTCGTCAGTTTCAGACGTTCTGCAACAGCCACGATTCTCATCCCGCCCTTCCGTCCTTGCGGGATCAACATTCGCCTTCTCCAAAGCCCCATCGCCAAAGTCAAACGGTACACTTCCGAGGACTAACCTGTCCCAAAGGGCATCACTCCGATCCAAAATACTCCTCCCATCAAGATCAATGGGCATTTCCTCATGTTCCTCTGAGCTCACACCTCCCCCAATCAGCCCAGCCGCTTCAGCTTGTTGAATAAGTTCCTTCACAGCTTCAACTTTGGCGTCCTCTCTTGGCCTTCTCGAATGCCCAAACAAAAGTGTATCCGGAATTTCGTAGCATTGAGGTGGTACTTGCCGCGGATCATCTGAAAAACCTTCTATAAGACCGAAAACTAATTCATCGTACGAATCAAGCTTTTGTGCATAAGGCGGCAGACCATTGCTGAGTGTCTCCGATGAATCATCATCTTCTACAGTGGCATCTTCGGCGTGCAATGTGTTCGACCTTTTGTCGTCGTCTGATAGACTCTTCTTATGGTTCTCTTCTTCCAAACATTGACGTTTTTCTTGACAATCAGACAGCTCGCCCTTGCTGGGAGAGGTTGGGCGTGCTACTGGATGCGGCATTGTCGTTCAAAGTTACGTGACACTCACTTTTGTAGCGCTCCCTATATAACAGACATAATTAGTAAAGGGAATCAGTTGCGTTCTTGTCTTTCTCGAAAAACTCTAACATACGTCTAATTCCATGAGAATGTGCCTGATTTGGTCAATGTATAAAGTGGTCTCACTGTTTGCCCTCTGTAAAGAGTCGAGATGGTGTTCCTTCGTCGGAGAGAATATAATTTGAAACTGCAGAATATTTAAGACGCAAGTTGGTGAAATAAATTATCATGGTAAAAGTTCTGATTCGTTGGGTAAAATAGAAGTGTTGAATAACCATTAAACTTGCTAAGCGAGCCTGGTACCCAAGGCTAGAGTGAATGATGTCTCCGGCGTATCTACAGCTGTGAACCAATAATACACTTGGTTACTTGCAAGCAATGATTCACTCGTCGTCACAGTCTACAGCTGCGCAGAGATTCACCCAGTGTAATCAAGCGGCAGTTTGGGATGGTGGGAGGGGAAACAGATTCTTCATTGCCACACATCTGCTTTAACCAGGTCATATTCGTTAATTCTAATTCAATAATGAATACATGAATAATTGTATACCTTTATCCCCAATTGACCGTTTCCCCAAGACCATAGTGCCGTACAAATTGCCAAAATGCCAGAATAAAACTTATTTAAAGAGCAAATCTCAATGACCAGGTTCAGAGCCTGCACCAACGAGATTCACACAAAGAACCGCAGCACCTGCGGCTAAGCTTCCAAGAACGAGCATCTGAAAGCCTTCCCACAAGCTTCTCTTGACACTCCTCTCTTCACCACGGAGTACCCAGCTCTTGCTTGATCCAAATGCCATGAGCGCTATCAAGCATAAAGCAATGCTCCAGTGCAGACCTCTACCAACTGTTGAAGTAAAGAAGTATGGGAGGAGGGGGATGATACCGCCAACGACATACCCCAGCGAGATGGATAGACCCGAGGCGACGGGCCAGATTGGTAGCTGATCCGACAACGGCTCTGTTGCTACATTTTGTTGCTGCAGACGGTAGACTGTGCTTCTAACACCGTCAGGCCGTTTTCTCAACATCACAAGAATCTCCAGGACTGTGGCAGGTGGTAGAGCCAGAGGCTCAAGATGGCTCCTTATAAGGTCCTCTTTTGATTCTTGTTCCGAGTCCTTTTCGTCCAAATTGTCGCTAAGATTACTACATGAGCCCCTTGAGCTTCCATCGCGCAACATCCCTCTCAGCTCCTCCTCGTCACCGTTGCTATCGAGGTCGTCTTTGTCCCCGGTTGGATGAGGAACTTCATCCAAAGCGGATAGATATCCGCCGATGCCCATACTGATGCTTCCGGCACACAACTCGGCGAGACCTGCATAAATGACGGTATCAGCTCTTCCCAGTGAGCTGAGCCCTGCGGTGAGGGCAAATGGCACGGTCAAGCCATCGGAAAATCCGAGGGTGAAGTCGGAAAGAAAGCGAGTTAAGCAAGGGCTTTGTAGCTTTGGCATTATGGCAAGCCAAGGCAAAAGAATAGTGTGCGATTGTGTTTTTTTTATGCGCACATTCTTTGGCGAAAAAAAAAAAAAGACGTTGCAAGTTGGTCAATGTGCGTAGTAGTGAACTGGCCACGATGACGAAGGTGGTTGAAATATTACACCGGTCATGAACTGAGTTAAAGATATCGGGATCAAGCTCGAGAACAAAAGAGCATCACAGTTGGTTCTCAGAACAGGGAAGTGCTAGTAACTAACTAGCGTTGAGGAGAATGCAACAAGTTTAAGTGTGGTTCATGGTGAAATCAACCAACAGAGCCCAAGAGATGGAGCAGCTGTCTTTGCAGGTGAGTGACTTTGGAAACGTGAGCTATCTATAGGCCGGGGCAGGAGCAAACGGCAATGTTCAACCAGCAAGTGCTCACTACTGCCAGACTGGACGGATGATGCGCAAACCTTCAGTGGCAGGTCAGGAACGGAAAGTGGCTGCCGGTGCGATCCACCAACCTGATCGACTTCACCCCACATTCTCATCCCAGCATCTCTACTCCGTATCCCGGCTGGACAGAGTCCACGATGCTACTTCGATTGCATGTGCGGCCCTGCATCACTGAGCTACCAACCAACCCCCACGTGCTCACTGATCCCCTGCTACGGAAGACGGAGTCCTCCGTCCATTACGGAGTATTGGCGAAAAGATCTCCTCTACAAGAATATCGGGCAGGAGGCTGGCAACAAGTGGGGTTTGTAGTTCTCGCCAAGCCTGCCGCTTAAAATCACAACGGAGGTAAAAAAAAAAAAAAAAAAAAAACTGCTGACGCCTG